GTCCCCCATTAGAGTTCCACAGTAGATGTTTCTGCTCCTAAATCCTTCCTTGACCGCCGCCCCCACCATTGCGAGTCAGAGCGCCCCTCTGTGCCCCCGAAATGCTCCGTGTGTAGCCCTGCCTCCCTCCCAGGTTGTGAGCCCCCCAAGGTCAGGGGTCCCTGCACCCGCACAGTGTACAGGACTTTGCTGAATGACATTGAAAGCCCTGGACACGGTGCCTGGGGAGGGCTGCCCTTGAGCAGCTAGTCATTGTTATTGTCTAAGTGGGAAAAGGCGTTCCGTTCTCTAGGGCCTTGCTACTCAAGAGCGTGTTCTGGGACCAGCAGCTCGGACATTACCTAGGAACTCCTTAGAAGCTCGCTGCCATGGCCTGGCCAGTGTGGCTCAGTTGGCTGGAGCCCCTCGGGTACCCCAAAAGGTCACGGGTTCGACTCCTAGTCAGGCACATGCCCAGGTTTGGGGTTCGATCCCCAGTCAGATGCAACCGATGGATGTTCCTCTCTCTCTCCCCCTCCTCTTCCCTCTAAAATCAATAAAAATCATGTCCTTGGGTAAGAATTTGAAGGAAAAAAAAAAATGTGTTTCAGTTCCCACTCTGGCCTGCAGAATCAGAATCTGAATTTTAAGAAATTTCCCGGGTCACTTGTATGGCTCATTCATTAAAGTGTGAGAAGTGCTTCTTTCATTCTACCGAGGACACAGGTGTGTCCGAGCCCCGCTGTGACAGACTTGAAGGGGATCCCAGCTACAACTGGGAGGCCGTGTGCCTGTTTCCATGACCTGGACTGACAGTGTCAGGGATTAGGGATTAGAAAATGCAATCTCAAGCTGATGCAATTTGCTCAGCAACTGGACCGTGCTCAGGTCTGAGAAGCAGACTACACAGTCACAGTAGGTTTTAGTTTTGTGAATAAAGGGGAAGCTTTAGCAGCAGATCTTGGGCAAGTGCGAGGACTAGGTAGAGACAGGCGGCTTGGCCAAGAATCCATCCCTCTTCCTCCATCTCTCCTCCCCAGATCCCAAAGGCAAGATTGACATTGGGCTGCCTCCACCCAAGGTCTGTCGGACCCAACAGCTGCTGGAGCGGAAACAGGTTCTCCGGGAGCTGAAGGCCAATGTGGAGGAGGAGCGGGCCGCCCGCCACCGCACAGGTAAGCCCTCCCAGGGGAGAGGCCCCGGTGTGCCGCCCCCCCACCCGGGGCCCAGCTGGCGTTATTCCTTCCCAGTGTGCATTCCGCTGGAGGCTGTGCGGGCTGAATGGGAGAGGACCTGCGGGCCCTACCACAAGCAGCGCCTGGCGGAGTACTATGGCCTCTACCGAGACCTGTTCCACGGTGCCACCTTCGTGCCCCGAGTCCCCCTGCACGTGGCCTATGCCGTGGGTGAGGATGACGTGATGCCTGTGTACCACGGCAATGAGGTCACGCCGACAGAGGTAACTGCTGGCGGTGCCCCTTCCTGCCCTGTGCACACAGACATCCCGTTGCAGGGCCAGGAGTCTCCCTTCCCCAAGAACCTCTGTGTATAACAGCCTGTCTGTCCCTGGTGGGGGTGACAGCTCCCTCGTTCTCTCCCCATCAGGCTGCCCAGGCCCCAGAGGTGACTTACGAGGCAGACGAGGGCTCCCTGTGGACACTGCTGCTCACCAACTTGGGTAGGTGTCTAGGGTACAGGAGCCAGGGCCCTGGGGGCTGGGGGTGGGGCCAGGTGGAGAGCGCGCCCCGGCTCCTTTCATGGGCCCTCAATGGTGGGTCTGTTTATGTGCAGATGGACACCTGCTAGAGCCGGATGCTGAGTATGTCCACTGGCTGGTGTGAGTACCTGGGGTGGGGCCGTGGGTCAGGCATGCAGGGAGGCCCTGGCATCCTGGGAAGAGCTGCACCTGAATTTCAGTCTTGGCTCCATCGCGGATTAACAATGGGACTTGGGGTTAACCTCCCTCCCCTGGAGGGGGCCCCTCCCCTCTGCTTCCTGGGAGTGTGAGGGCCTTATGATCCCGTGGCTGGAAACGGGTAAGAAGAAAAGCAGGCAGCGGGCCTGGCTGCTCCCACAGGCCTCTGGTCACCCTGAACACATCTCCTCACCCGTAAATTAGGATGATGCCTCCACATTCCTTACCCACCCGGGGGCTCTGTGACAGTCAAATGAGAGAGGGACCACGAGAGGCCTCTGGCAGCTGCACGTGCTCAGGGTGGCCAGCCTTTTGCTTTCTCAGTGGCTTTTGGCTCTGAACACCAGGGGACAGAAGTCAGGCAGGCGACCGCAGCTTTGGCGTTTCTGGATAACCAAGGCCAGTGACTGGGAGGCTGGTTTCTGTCATTTTTATTCAACTGCAGTTACCAACCGATGTAGCAGGACCCTCTGGGGCTGCCTCTTCAGGCGGGTACAGTGGCCGTTGCGGTGCCAGGCTGGGCAGACACTCTGTAAAGCCCAGAGTTTCAGGAAACAGAGAAAGAAGCAACTCAGAGGTGTCGTGGTCTCCAGCCAGAGTGGCTGTGGCAGCCCTGCCAGGCTCCCCAGGGCATAGCAAACAGGCTGCTCGCCTTTGCTCTCATCCTGGCTGTCTCTGCAGCTAGCCCTCCGCCTCAGCCCCAAGGGTTCACAGAGCTCCAGCTCCTACCTGATTGCACAGAAGAGGTCTTTGTAGGGTCTGTGCCCCCTGGGAGTTGTTTCAGCCTCTAGGAAGTACTGGATGAGGATGCTTCTGCGGCCACTTCTGTCCAGTGGCAATTAACAGATTCCTTTCCTCCTGCCAGAACCAACATCCCAGGCAACAGGGTGGCTGAAGGACAGGAGACGTGTCCCTACCTGCCCCCCTTCCCTGCCCGGGGCTCTGGCTTCCACCGCTTTGCCTTCCTGCTCTTCAAGCAGGAGAAGCCAGTCGACTTCTCTGAGGATACCCGGCCCTCCCCCTGGTAATCTACACCCCCACGCCTGTCCCCGCACCCCCACCCCAGCCTCAGGCCAGCTTCCCAGCAATGGTCAGCCTTGCTCAGTCTCCTCACCTCTCTCTTCCCTCAGGACTTGAGACGGGCAGACAGTGGTTGTGCTAGGAGGGCCCTAAGGGGCCCCTCAGGATTGCCTATGGGGCAGTGGGGGTGTGGGGCCCTGGTGTCCCCTCCCCACTCACATTCTCCCCATCTTACAGCTACCAGCTTGCCCAGCGGACCTTCCACACTTTCGATTTCTACAAGAAACACCAGGAAGCCATGACTCCAGCTGGCCTGGCCTTCTTCCAGTGCCGCTGGGATGACTCGGTCACCCACACCTTCCACCAGCTTTTGGGTAGGGACAGTGGGCTGCAGGGGTTGGGGGGTGGCTGGCGCACACTCAGGCCTTTCCAGACCTGGCAGGCAGTTCTCCCTGGTCTCGGGGAGTCGCCCAGTCCTCCGCTAGGCTGGCTAGCTAGTCCCAACCTAGAGACAAGATGGGGGTTCGGGCCGGCAGCAGTCCACATCCGCACTCCTCACTCTTCTTGCAGATATGCGGGAGCCCGTGTTCGAGTTTGTGCGGCCACCCCCTTACCACCCCAAGCAGAAGCGCTTCCCCCACAAGCAGCCCCTTCGCTACCTGGACCGGTACAGAGACAGTCATGAACCCACCTATGGCATCTACTGAGTAGCTAGACTGCCACCCCCCTCAGAGGGTGGGCTGGGCCTGGGGCCACTCTGTCAGGCTCCGCAGGCAGGCACCATAAACACACCTCCAGGGACCAAGCTGTGGGGCCCTGGGCCCTGTCTGAGGCAGCCCCTCTGGGGTGAATGAATAAAGATGATTTCTGCTATAGCTGGTCTGGGTCTGTGTTCCAGGAGCAGCCAGACCCCCTCCCCACCCCCATGGAGTTGTACTGCTTTGTGGGTGGGAAGAGGGCTGCCTCCCATCCCAGGAGGTCACCCTGTGACCCAGTGGCTGAAAGCAGGTCCAGAAGAAAAAGCAGGTTGAGGTCTTGGCTCCTCCCACAGGCCTCTGGGGAGAGGTCTGCCCACTGAGCATTGGCCCCTGGCCTGTCCGGTCTCAGAGAGCTCAGGCACACGCCCGGCCCCTGCCTGGGTGGTTAGGGCATGTCTGTCTCTAAAGGGAAAGACCGCCTGTAGCCAAGCAAGAGGAGCTCTGTGCACCTCCTCCAGAAAGAGCGACTCACACGTTTACAGCACAAGACACGCGGCTGCATTGCACTGAGGGCAGCTGACCTTCACAGCAGGCCGGCGTGGTGTGGCTCAGTGGTTGAGCATCGACCTATGAACAGGGTTTGATTCCTGGGCAGGGCACACGCCCAGGTTACGGGCTAGATCCCCAGTGTGGGGTGTGCAGGAGGCAGCTGGTAAATGACTGTTTCTCATCATTGATGTTTCTCTCCTTTCCCTTCTTCTCTAAAATCAATAAAACATATTTTTAAAAAATAAATAAATTAGGTCGGCTTGGTCAGAAGAGTTAACCCTCCTCCAGCCGGTCCTGGGCCGACTCGCCCTGCCCCGGGGCAGGTGGGTTTGCAATCAGAAGCCCTCTGCTCAGCTGCGGGGAGCCATTGCTCTGAAAACTGGGGTTCTAGAGCAGCAGCGGCCCACTCAGGGAGGGGGTTCCAGTGCAGTTAAGTGCTTCCGGTTTCCAGGAAAGGGCGTGGAAAAACCACTGGACTGGTCTCTTGGTGACCAGAAACGCCCACCTCATGTAGATTCGTAGCCAAGAGAAGGGAGACACCCTGGTTTGGCAAATGCCTGAAACTCAGCTCACGGAAAAAGTGCAGCAGGGCCCTTGGGCGGGAGAGCATTGAACCAGGACTAGCTGCGCCCCCGCTCTGGCGGCCAGACACTCACTCGCACCGTCCATTTCACCGCTGAAGCCGGAGGCCGGCGGCGGCGGCAGATTTTCAGACGCGGCCCTGAGCCAGGAGGCCCCTGGGGTTCTGGTCTCTGGAGGCTGGGACCCGACCCCTGCTCAGGAGCGGCGCACTGAGGTTTAGGAAAGCCGGCAGGAGGTCCCAGGGTGAGACCAGAGAGAGCGGGACCCCAGCTCCCGGCAGGAGGCGCCAGGGGTGGCTCTGGACGAAGCTGAGTGGGAGGCCGG